GCTCACTCTACCCAAAGGTCTCTGGGCGGCTTACAACAATTTAAATTCAATTAAAATACAATAAAAGATAAAATGATTAAAATACAATTAAAATTGCCCTCAGGACCCACAGTTGATGTTTATTTATTTATTATTTATTTATTTGATTTTTATCCCGCCTATCTGGACCAATGTTATTTCAATTAAAAGCCTTCTGGAACAGGAAGGTTTTGACCTGGCGCCAAAATATCATCAGCATCGGCGCCAGACGAATCTGACTCGGGATGGCGTTCCATAGTCTGGGGGCAGCTGCCGAAAAGGCCCTTTGTCTACAAGCCGTCCCTCTTACCTCCTTGAGGGATGGCTCTTTCAAAAGGGCCTCCTGGCTAAATCTTAACTGCCGGGTAGGCTCATATGGAAGGAGGTGGTCCTTCAGGTAATTGTAGATCCTTTTAAATCAAGGGGAAAGTAGAACAGATGTCTGCTCTGGTTTTTCTAGTTGGGTTTGCCAGAGACTGACCCTGATATTTTCTGTCCACATAGCGTGTACTTTACCACTCATCTAAGGAATTTTATCATTATCTGAGTATAGTACTTTTATACCACTTTTTCTTTTAAAATTCAAAAGCGGTTTACAATAAGACAATGGATAAAAGCAATAAAGGCACAAACACATTGCATTAAAAAGCAGACTTATCTGGTAACACTTATAGTCAGGCAAATTACTGGGTGAAAAGCCAGGTGTTTGATGATAGAAATACCCAGCACTGGGATCCCACCTAATTTCAGTGGGTGGAACATTCCACATAGTGAATATCTCAAGAGAGACAGCACACCTCCTCATTGGAACCAAGCAGAGCCTTATTAGGCCATAGTATAGAAAGCAGAATCCTTCCCCCACCCTCACAATATAAATACCCAGCAGTCTATATTGGATTTGTTAACTGTAGCTACTGCTGCTCTGCTCATAATGGGAGGAATTTATATTGTAGCTTGCAGGATTATCATCATTATATGTTACGTTTTATTCTGCAGCTGTATCCCCTTGGGAAAGAGGAGAAATTCAAATGCCACAATCCAGGAGAGGGCTGATTTCTAGTCACCTTACATGTGCCTAGCTAGGCTGGATAGCTCAGTGATTTAGGTATCAAAGCCAGAGTTGGGGAGTTTGATTCCCCGCCATGTCTCCTGTGAGTAAAGCCAGCCCGTGTGGCCTTGGGCAAGCTGCATAGTCTCAGGGCGCCTTCAGAAGAAGGGAATGGGAAACCACTTCTGAGTACTCCCTATTTAGAAAACCCTGAAGGGGGTCATCATAATGAATTTGACAGCACATGATTATTATTATTGCCTAACTCCATGCCTGATTATACCTTCAGATTGGCACTCAAATTATAGATTCCTACTAGCATGTCTGCTGTTACACTTCAAATCATAACAAATGAAAGAAAAGAAAAATCAACCATTAAAAATGATAACTTTCTGGTATGCTAAATACAAAGTAAATGGCAAATGCAGCAATGTGTCTAGTTAATTTTGACACCTACTTGTCTTTGAAAAACAGATACATTGGCTATATCTGTCTCTGTTATTAATTATAATAAATTACTGACTGATCATTGGTTGTATACATATTGGATTTAAAAAGTTTTTTTTTAATCCCACAAAATGTGAGTTGTAATAACATTTGAAACCAATAGAAAAGTTAGGCAGGGAAATGTTTTACATGTGTAGCACTCACTGCCACCTGGCATGTGGGTATTTTTACAAAGCTCAATAAAACAGTGTGTAGCACTCATGCACAAAAATTGAAAATTCACAGACATGTATTTAAGCACATTTTTAGAGGGAATAATAAAATAGGGCTAACAGAGAGCCAACACCTGGAGAATGTTTTTAGGTGAGAAGCATGGGAGAAAAGAGATATGAGAAAGTAAGAAATTTTGCATTGTGGGATTTCCTGGAATAATAGTGATATATGAGGCTTCATGAACTAAGGCTAGTTCTCTTTAACTCAGCAGCTTTGCAAATTTTTTATTTTCAAAATTATTCCTAGTCATTTGGACTTTTGCTGAGCTTTTTCATAAACTTTTGCATAAACTGCAGAGAATCTGCATTTTCTGTCTGAAGCATGAGATGTTTCACATATTGTTGTTTCTGTTTTGTTAAATACCATTTGTCTATAAAATTTTTTCTAAACCATTTATCTCAGTTCACCAGAAAGGAAACAAAACACAATGGCTCGCCACCAACCCCCACCAAACAAACTAACAACCCACCACCACACATTGGTGTGTTGATCCCTGTCAGATTTCATTGTACTGTATTGTTTTCAGCTCAGTGCTCAAGCCTGTCAAGATCTTTTTGAATTTTTTTCTGTCTTCTAGGATGTTAGCTGTGCTTGTGTGTGTGTGTGTGCAAATTGAATAAACATTCCCTGCACCCACCTTATCCAAGTTATTAATAAAAATGTTGAAAAGGACCAGGCCAAGAATGAGCTTTGGGGCACTCCACTTGTTACAGTACCTCCTCCCAATTTGAGAAGGAGCCATTGATAAACTCTCTCTTAATATGATTCTGTAACCAATCCACCTGACTGTTATTCTGTTCTGTGCACATCTAGTTAGCTTGCTAATCAAAACATCACAGGACACTTTTGATGTCAAGCCAAGATATATTACATCTGCTGCATTACCATCATCTATCAGGGAGGTTACCCGAATAGGTTACATAGTCATACAAAGACCACAGACCTCAGAAGAAAAATACTAAGGAAGCATCGGAAAGAGGAAGGCTTTAATTCTGTGCTTAACTTCTATTGTTGCCCCAACTATGTACTGTATCCTTTTCTTCTAACAGGTGACATTTGGGCCAAGCACAGGGAGATGACCCCAAAGTATGAGGGGTAGGCACACCAGATGTCACATGCTTGATCCATGAGCATCCTACACCTCTTTTCACAGCAGCATCTAAATCAGGAAAATGTACAGAAGTTGCATTGTTGCTGTTATTTAGCGAGACAGAACTCAAACATGTGATTTTCCTACACAGTCTGAAATCCTGGTATTACTATAAAGAGGGACAGAGAGAAAGCAGGATTGTGGAACACTGGTATTTTGCTTCCGTCTTGTTCCAGAAGGGAAATGGCACTCAACCTAGTGAAGAGAGAATAAACAAGGAAGGGAAGGGACTACTGCCTAAGGTAGGCAAAGAGGTGGTATGAAAAATCTAGCTGTTTTTAATCAATTCTTAGTCTGCTGAAGAGCATCCCAGGATATCTAAGGAATTTGCAGATAACAATCTCAGGGCCTCTGTATCTAATTTATGAGAATCCAGGTGAGATTCCTGAAGACTGGAAGCAAACATGTTATTCCCACCTCCAAAAAAAAGGAGGGGGGAATCCAAGACCCAGGCAGCTATCATCAGTCACCTTGACATCAGTACTAGGAAACATGCTGGAACAGATCATTAAATAATCTGTGAGTACTTACAAAAGAATACTGTGATTTCCAGGACCCAGCCCAGATTTCTCAGAAACAAATCATGCCAGGCCAATCTTCTCTCTCTCTCTCTCTCTCTCTCTTTTTTTTGGGGGGGAGCAGAATCACAAGCTTGGTAGATGTGAGGAATGCTGCGGATATCATGTCTCTCATTATTGTAGCAGCCAAGTTGCTAAAACATGGGCTGGACAATGCTACTGTTAGGTGGATTTGTAGCTGGGTCCCCAATATTCATCATTTTGGACAGAAGGGAGAAGTAGGGTGTTAGAAGGTTCAGTCCTGGACCCTGGTTTATTCAGTATGTTTATAAATAACTTAGATGAGGACATGGGACACAAAGTATTGGATTCAAATTATGAGAAAGAAGATTTGTGCCTAAACATTAGGAAGATCTTCTTGACAGTAAGAGCTGTTTGATGATGGAATGGACTGCTTGTGTGTGTGTGGACTCTCCTTCATTGATAGAAGTTAGGTTATCACCTGTCAAAGATGCTTTAGTTATGAATTTCCTGCTTTG